TGACGAAGGGTAGCGCTATGGGTGCTTTTTCCTCCTCTCAGGACCTCTCCCGGGGCTCGTTCCGACCAAGATGTCGAGACGAAGCCAGCGGTGGCGACGAGGGCCTCCCAGGAGGCCTCCAACAGCGAAAACGAGGGGAGGTTAGCGGAATAGGTGCCTTTTTCCTCCTCTGATTGGAGGCCTGGAAGTGGGCACCAACACTGGGGGAAGATGGTCCTAGGTTCCGGCGTCGGTGGTCAGATGTTGGTCACCTGGGTAGCCCGAGTATTACCACCATCGCCGAGATCGGGATCATCTTCCCTCAGTGGAGGCGCCCCGCCTCTATGGATGTTGGTGTTAACCTCTCGGCTCAGGGCGGGCGTGTCCACCCACAGGCGGATTTTGGACGAACAACGAAACAAACCAATTCCAATGACCCCAGATAGCCAAACAAGTATGAAACACTCCTCCCCAGGCTACATTCGACGGCTTTTGCACATCCCTCCTGCAGCGGGACGCACCCGACGTCAACTCCGGGCCGGGCGTGTCCACCTACAGGCGGATGTTGGACGAACAATGAAACATACCAATGAACATGCCCCCAAGTAGCTAAACAATTATGAAACACTCCTCCCAAGGCCAACTTCGACTGCCTTTGCTGAAGGGGCCCTGGGACACACAAATAAATACACACACACACAAATGAAACGATTCCCCACATTTCCCAACATTTTCTGGGTTTGTGTCTTCCCCCCCCCACCTCCCTGAATTTTCCTAGACTTCCTGGGGACTCGGCGATTCATTGTGTCTGTGTGTGTCTTCCCCCCCTGACTCCGCCCCCCGGGCCTCCGAGGGGTCCGAGGCCCCCGGCGGGCGGCCCGCCTGCAGCGTCTGGTCGATGGCGGCCACGAGCTCCGCGTTGCCCGTCAGCCGCGTCTCGCGCTGCAGCGCGGTCTCCGCGCCCGTCAGCGACGCCATGGCGCCCGGGGCGGGCGGCGGGGGCCGCGCGGCCGCCCGGGGGCGGGGGCTGCGAGGGGCGGCCCTGGCCGCGGGGGGTGCCCCCCCCCCCGCCCCCCCCAGTTTGAGTCGTTGGGAGGTCCTCCTCCTCCTCCTCCGCCGCCTCCTCCTCCTCCTCCTGCTCCTGCTCCTCCTCCTCCTCCTCCTCCTCCTCCTCCTCCTCCTGCTCCTCCTCCTCCTCCTCTTCTTATCATTCTTATTATATATTGCATTGTGTTTCGTATTATAATTATAATCATTAGCCGCATTACTGGCAATACTATTCGTACTAGTGGTGATCTTATTATCCTTAGTATCAATCGTATTCGTATTCGTATGCTTAATAATACGATTATTCTTAGTTGTCGTACCGTATTCGTCTTATTATTAGTATGAATACTATGAGTAGTATTAGTAGTATTAGAATTATTATGATTGATATTATTACTGTTTTTAATATTATGATTAATCGTATTATTAGTATCAATATTGTTATTATTATTGTTATTTATGTTTTAGTATTACTATGATTACTAATGATATTCGTATTAATATTATTATTATTATTATTATTAGTATTATTACTAGTATTATTATTAATACTACTATTACTAGTATTATTACTATTATCATTATTATTATTAGTAGTCTTCTTCTTCTTCCTCTTCCTCTTCCTCTTCCTCCTCCTCCTCCTCCTCCTCCCGAGCCCAATTGAGGGCCCCCGAGCCCGGTTCGGGGCTAGAGAGTCCGATTTAGGGGGGCCACGGCGCCAGAGAGCAGGCCAGGTCGAACCCGAGATAGGAAGCCTGATCGGGCCAGGTAGAATGGCATTCGGGCGGGCTGCCGACCACGGATCTACCAGAGCCGACGCTGAATTGACACTTCGGTCGGGAGTAGTATGTAAGCACATGAACTAGGAAGGCGGAGCAGGTAGGCTGGGGCCAAGCCCTCCCAGGGAAGAATCGAACCCAGCGAAACCACGTCGATGCTCGAAGCAGGAAGGCGCCCGACATAGACTCGGATCTGACGTCCCAGCACGCCCGCCCCCGACGACCGGCCCGCGACCTCCCGGCAGCTGCATCCAGCGTGCCGGAAGAGCGGGACAACCACCCGCAGGGGCACCAGCGCTGCAGGCGGTGCCCGCGCAACCCCGAGAGCGTGGGCCGTCGGGCGGGGCCGCCCGGTCCGTGCGCAGGACCGCCTCGTGAGCGCCAGCTGTGGGGCTCGGGGTGGTTTTCGTGTGAAGGAGGCCTCGTGCGGCTACCCGAAACCCAAGGTGCGTGGGACCCACGTCGGATTCACGTCGGGCTCGTCGGATGTACGTCGGACTGGCGTGGGATCAACGCCGCACGAACGTCGTCCCGTATCTGACGACGCGGACGTGTGGACCAAATGATACAACGATTGCGCGCCGCGCGAACACTCCAGGATGTTCATCATAGGTTTTCCCCCCTCTGCTTTCTCGCCAGTGTGGGTACAGTCAACCCGTATCGTAAGGATGCGCGATAAGGATGCAAAGGCCCTGGGCACCCCTTTCGAAGCCGTTAGGGCGGGCCGCGGCCAGCGAGAGTGGCGAAGGATGGACCGAGGAGGCAAGGATACAACGGTACCCTTGGGAAGGTTACCCATCTTTGCTATGCGGGTTGACTGTACACCCTGCGAAATGCTCAAGAAATCATGGGTTAAGAAATTCATAGTCTCAGAACTTGAACAAAAACCCAACATGTCGATTAAAATCTTAAGATCTACATTGAAACGTTAAGAATAATCGAGACTCTGGCCGAAAACTTAAGTTTTCTTAAGCATCGCCTAAGGTGTAGGTGGCGACATCCGAACCCTGCCCCCGCCAGCCATCGACTCTCCCGGGCCGAGGGGAGGCGGGGGCAGGGCTCGGATTTCGCCACGTGTCCGACGCCTTCCGAACCCTACGCCCCTGCCGCCCGTAGAGTTGCCCGAATCGTGGTGGATCGGAGAGGACAACTGGGCGTCGCTCGACGGGGGACGATAAATTAAAGGGGCCCCAGAACACACAAATAAATACACACAAATAAACAGATTCCCCATATCTTCCTGTATGTTCTGGGTTTCTGTCTTCCCCCCACTTCCCATATTTTCCCATATGTTCTGAGGAATCGAGGATTAATTGTGTCTGTGTGTTTTTTCCTCTCCTGATAAATGGGGTGGGAGCAGAGTGCACGTCTCGGGTCCCGGAGGCCTCCTTCTGGGACCCAAAGGGCCCGCCAGGGGCCCCTTCGGCCCCCCGTTTCCTGCAGCCCTCGCTGCCCCCCCCCAAAACATCTGGCGTCTCGATTCTTTCGAGACACGGGCCCCCGACCTCTCGACCACTTCCCTGGGACGGGCTCTTTCGCCCCGAGTCGTTTTGTTGACGGTCCCGAGGCCCGGCGAGGGGGCCCCGACAGCCCGAAAGCGACAACAGAAACCCGCTGTCTCGATTTTTGTCGAGACGCCCGACGTCTGGGCCACGGATCGCCCCCCGACGGCGCGAGGCCCGAGGCAGGGTTCGGACCGCGCCGCGGGGCGGGGCCGTGGGGGCCGATGGACCTCCCAGGGGGGGGGGGAGCGGGGGCGACCTCGGGCCAGGGCCCCCCCCCCGTGCAGCGCCCCGCGAGGGGAGGGGGGAGGGGGGGGGGGCCTCAGCCGTGTCGGGGCAGCGGGGCGGGGAGGAGCGGAGGGAGAGGGGCGGGGGTTGGGGAGGGGGGGGTCCGCAGGGCGCGCGGCCCGAGCAGGAGGAGGGGAGGGGGGGAGAAGGGGGGAGGGGGGCGGGGAAGAGGGGGAGGGGGGAAGAGGGGGAGGGATGGGGGGGAAGGGGGGAGGGGGGCAGGGGGAGGGGGGAGGGGGGGGGAGAAGGGAGGCGGTCGCGGCGCGGAGGGCGCAGGGAGCTCAGGAGTTGGGGAGGTCGGAAGGGGGCGCCCGGGGAGAGGCTCAGGGGTTTCGCGATGGCGGGGGGGGGGGGGTGCGGGATTCGCACGCGGCCTGGCAGCAAACCTGCGCAGGAAGGACGCACGATAGGGATGCAAAAGGCCCTGGAAAGCCACGTCGACGCTCTGCGAGCGGAGCGCGGCCAGCAAAGAAGACGGCCAAGGGTGGGCCGGAAGGGAGGAATCCAGAGGCAACTTGGGAACACCGCGCATCCGTACTATGCGGGTTGACTGAACCAGGTTTTGGAATGAGACGGGTGATCGACCGGGACGGGGGGGAACAAATCCGCCGACCCTGTCGGCGTGTGTGAGGGGCTTTTCCGTTCGAGCCGTCATCTCCGTCATTCTTTGTACTCGTCGTCTCTGTCCTTCCCTTTCCCTGGGAGACCTCTTCCCCTGGGCTCCAGCCAAGCCGACCTTGAGCAACCTCGTAATTGAGTCGAAGGGAAGCCCCTTCCCTTTGATCCCTCCCCCGCCGGGAGGGGGGGGGGGTGTACCGACCCCCCCCCCGGGTCAGATACGACGCCCCCCCCTGGGACTCCTCTTCCCCTGGGCTCCAGCCAAGCCGACCTTGAGCAACCTCGTAATTGAGTCGAAGGGAAGCCCCTTCCCTTTGATCCCTCCCCCGCCGGGAGGCGAGGGGGGGGTAGCGGGGGGCGGTAGCGACCCCCCTCCCAGGTCAGATACGACGCCCCCCCCCCGTACCGACCTTGAGCAACGTCGTAATTGAGTCGAAAGGAAGCCCCTTCCCTTTCCCTTCCCCGCCGGGGGAGGGAGAGGGGGTCCCGGGGGGGGTCCTGGGGGAGTCCCGGGGAAGTCCCGGGTCAGATACGACACCTCCCTCCCCCACCTTCTCGTCCTTCTCCCCGTTCCCCAAAACCATCCCACAGCCCGTGCCTCTTGCTGCGCATTGCGAACAGGGTCGGCGGCACCGGCCGTCAGGCCTTCGCAATAATGAGCAGGAGTAGAACTAGGAGAAAGCTGGGTTGGGAGGACCGAGTAGGAGGAAATGGCTGAGACTGATTCGGATGAGGATGCATCCCGGGAAAAATCTGAAGGGTTTGGGTATCGGTACCCTCCATTTCCCTGGAATTTGTTTGTCCAGTCCAAGCATTTTTCCTTCGCTTCGGCCTCTGAAGCCCGCTCTCGGGCCCAATGGGAAACGACCCCTGGGCCGCGCATTGAAAGAATCACATCGTGGCGGGCCCCGAAGCGGCATGATCAAAAAGTGGTTCGAAAAGGGGGCCGTGAGGATTGTCACGCAGGCTCGTCTCTATCAGGGGGACGTAGTGAGCCGAGGCTGCGCCCGAAAACCTCAACGAGTGCGACCGGTAACGGCGCCCGATGTTTCCCAAACGCGCCAGCGTGACCGGAAACTCTTGGTTCGACACAACTATTTTCAATATCGGTCATACTTTCTGTCACACGATTTCCGGTCAATTTCGGGCACGTGTTCGGTCACCGGCCTTGCGGCTGATAAGGGCCGGGCACCATGAAGAATTGGGCCGTGAAAAGAAGACGGGTTCTTATCGACGAACAAAAAACACCTGACGACGTACCCAAACTATCTGCGTTGAGTGACAAGGGGATCTGGCCAGGACTGGTAATTATGGACGACTGCAACATCAAATATGACACCGGTTGCGCAATGTGATCTGGGACGCGCGCGCGTTGCACGACTCTCTGGAAAAGAACGGGAGGACGAGGACCGAGGCCCCAGGCTCGAAGAGAAAAATGAAGGCGGGAACGAGGGGCAGCACAAAAACGAATGAGATGCCAAAACGTTACCACGACAGCAGCAATGGCCTGGCGGAAAGACGGCAACGAAAGAGGCAGGATGAGGGAAGAGGGTGGTGATTTCTGAGTGGCACGCTGGACAAACAGCGCGGCCCATGTCGCCCTGGCGCTCCAAAGGATCAGCTAGCTGCGCAGAGCTAGCGCAAGGAGCAAGCAAGACTGAGTTTCCTTCCTGCGCCTTGCAGTGCGGGGGCTGGACGCCCGCATGCGCGCCGCAAGGTCTTCGGGTGGCCCGCGGGGGAAGGCAGTCAAGGCTAATCTGAACACGCGTAGGACGTCGTTCGGCTGCCCCCCCCCCCCAGCAACTCTCGAAAGTGGCGACGGTTTCGCAGATCGCAGCCCCCCGGGGATGGCGAGGTCGAATCTGAAGCAGCGTGCGACCTCATTCCGCTGGACCCCCCAGCCGCCCTCGAAAGTGGCAACGGCTTCGCAATTCGCAGCCCCACCCCGACGGGGAGGTGTAATCTAAAACCGCTGTGGGGCGTAACTCCATTGGACCCCCCCAACAGCACTTGAAATTGGTGGCACTTTCGCAGACCGCAGCCCCTCAGGGATGGTGAGGTCGAATATGAATCTGCTCAGGGCATCACTACGTTGGGCCTCCCAGCGGTCTTCGAAAGTGGCGACAGCAGCCCCCCCCGGGATGGCGAGGTCTAGTATGAATACGTATAGGACGTCACTGAGCTGAATCCCTCAGCAAGACTCGAAAGTTGCGGCGCTTTCGCAATTCGCAGCCCCCCCCCAAGGGATTCTGAGGTCTCCTCTGAAGCAACGTAGGAAGTAGACATGACTACGCTGGACCCCCCCCAGCCGCCCTCGAAAATGGCGACATGTTCGCACATCGCACCTTCCCGCCCCCCTCCCCAGGGATGGCGAGATCGAATCTGGATCTGCGCAAGACGTCGTTATGCTAGACCCCCCCCCCCCAGCAGCCCTCGAAAATGGGGACTGTTTCGCAATTCGCTGCCCCCCAGGGATGGTGAGGTCGAGTCTGAATATGCGTAGGACGCCACCATCGTGGACCGCCAGCAGCTCTCGAAACTGGCGACGCTTTCGAAAATCGCTGCCCCCCAAAGATGGTGAGGTTTGATATGAAGCTGCGTGAAAAGTAAACGCTACTACGCTGGACCCCCCAGCCGCCCTCGAAGATGGCGACATTTTCGCACATTGCAACACCCCCAGGGATGGCGAGGTTTAGTCTGAATCTGCGGAGGACGTCATTATGCTAGACCCCCCCCCAGCAATCATCGAAGGTGGCGACGTTTGCGCAGACCGCAACCTGTCAGGGATGGCGAGGTCGAGCCTAATCGGGTCCAATGGTGGAACCCCAGCAGCCCTTGAAAGCGGCGACGGTTTCGCAAATCTCAGCCCCCCAGGGAGAGCGAGGTAACCGATCGAGTAGCAGGCAGGTAGGAGAAGAGAGGAGGGAGGGACAGTGGAGACCTCAGTCTCTGTTCGAAACGAGAACCCAACGCAGGAGGGTTGGAAACACTTATTTCGTCGGCGGCGAGGCAGAGTTGGCTGCACCGGCGATAAAGCTAAACGGGGACACCGAGAGGCGAATTGGCCAGCGTGCAAGAAAGGGGGAAAGACAGACGAGGAGGATTGGAAAAACGCAAACGTAAACTTCCGGAGGTCCGCGCGGATGTCTTGGATCGGCGCTAAAGCCCCCTCCGTTACCGCCAGGAACGCGCCCAGGGGCGGCGCCGGAGGCGCCGCCAAGACACTGCAGAGCCAATCCGAGAAATCCGCGCAGACCTCCGAAAATGTACAATCGGACCTAGGACATAAAAACATCATTTAAGGATATGGACATGGGGTCGTGCCCAACATCCAACAAACACGAAGAACGAACACCAAATAAGCACGAAAAACATGAGGGCACCCTCCCCGAACCGACCTCGATCTTTTACCTCGGTCCGACCTGCATGTTTATGTCGTTTGTCGGCCCCCGATACCAAGCTGAATCTACGACCTGCTCTGAGCCCCTCGTCCTCCAAGGCCCCTCGTCATCAGGGCCCCATGTCTGGGTCGCCGGTGGGATGGCACGGCGAAGGGGGGCCCAGCACGGGTTTCTGGATCACCGCGGGTGGGAACCAAGAGGGTAATGGGGGTTCTCTAAGTGGAGGTTAAGCTGGCTTGCGCGTGTCCTAACCTAGCATGTGACTGGGTTGCAAGGGCCCAGAGCGGCTTAGAGGGATCGGACAAGGCCGCGAAGTGGGCGAAACCCATTTAGGCCGGGAACATGCGTACGCCACACCGTAGCATCCACTTCAAACCCCCCTGTCCCCTTAGCACTTAGCACCCCCCGGCGGTGATCCAAGCAGATCTTGCTCTTCGTCGGCGGCGAGGCAGAGGCAGTCCGCTCCAACGTGTGGCATTTCGGGGTAACCGAAAGGGGGGGGGGAAAGACAAGAGCGGAAAAGAAAGATCCAAGCTGACATCCGACGCCCTGATTAGCTGGCACGCGGGGCCGCCAGAGGCTTAGGTCGGGCATGTCCCCCCCTACAGGCCGATGTTTGGCGAAAAAAACAAAATAGCCCAAAGAGATGCAAAACATGTCCGACAATAACCCCCAAAATCGTCCCCTATGTTTTGCTTTACTGCTTTTGAAGATTCCTCCTGCAGAGGGACCCGCCCGACTCAATCCGAGGCCCCGACCCTCGCCCTGCAGGGCCGGCGCTTCGCCCCGAGCCGTACTCTCCGACGGCCCTGTGGGGCCCGGCGGGGGCCCGCGCCCACGGACTGCTGGGCGTTGCCGATGAGCGTCTGGAGATTGAGCATATTGGACGCCATGGCCGCGAGGTCCAGCCCGTTGTGGCCCGCGGCCGAGACCGTCGCCAGGGCCCTCGCCTCGGCAACCTCCTGCTGCAGGGCACCCACTTCAACGGAGAGGCTTTCGGAGCGCTTGCGCAGGTCCACGACTTGAGCTTTCGCTGCAACCAGCTGCTTGTCCTTGTCCTCCTTCTCTTTGGTCTTCGCAGCCAAGCGGTCCTGGCCGCTGCGCAGGACGGCGTCGGGTGGCCGACGGCGACGCTCATCTGCCTCCAGCGCTCGGACCTCGCGGGTGAGATTGACGATGGACGGATGGTCGTCGTCATACTGCAACCGTCGCAAGGCCGCCAATGCCTTGCGAGCCCGCACGAGGGCCTCGGACTCGTCCGACTTGGCGGAGGCACCGTCAGCACCAGAAGCACCTGCAGCGCGAGGAGGAGCCGCGTGGCCACGGTGGCGACGCGCAGCCGACGCTGACCTGGTACGTGGTGCACGTTGTAGACCACCGCTAGGATCGGGTCGGGCGAAAGGGGGGGATAGCAAAGGGGGGGTTTGAGAATCAGCTCACGTAGCTGATTTTCCCGGCGCCTCCCGGCGCCGGAGGCGGCTATGTATCGAGGAATGGGCTCCTCGGTGAGGCCGAAACCAGCTGCATGCAGCAAATTTCGTAACCCCCCCTTTCCCAATCCCCCCCTTTCGCCCGACCCGATAGGAAACCGCCCTTGTCGGTCGCGGCCGCACTGCCAGCAGGTGGCCCTGCTGCTGAAAGTTGCCTTGAAACCGCACGTCCTGCTGGCGACGCATGGCCAGACAGGCTCGCCTCTCCCTGCCGCTGGAGCTCCTGCGCGCCACGGCGGACCGGCTGCCGACGCCGACGGCGACTGGAGGCTGCTCCCGTCGCCCGCCATGTCGCCAGGGCCGCCGCGAGGCCTGCACAGGTGCTCGCCGTGGTGGCGGGCCAGGAGCGCGCGCGCGCGCGCGCTAGCCAGCCGCCAAAGCTGGCGAGCGGCTGCGCGCGCACGGCGAGCCCTCCTGTGCCACGCGGGCGACCTATCGCGCGCGCGGCGGGGAGGGGAATATAAACGTGGAATGGTGCCGCCGCCCGAGCTCGGGCTGACGGCGTGGGGGCTGGGACACGGGCCCCCTGTGGCCCGTCGGTCCAAGCCAAAACCTAGGACGTGGAGGAGGAGGAGGAGGAGGAGGAGGAGGAGCAGGAGGAGGAGGGGCAGGGGCGGCGAGGCCGAGGAGGGCGAGGGGGCGGCGAGGATAGCGAGGAGCCGAGAGGCGAGGGGCGGGTCGCACGGCGAGGAGCCCTACACGCACGAGGGCGGCGAGGGGGCGGCGGTCGCACGGCGAGGGGCCCCACGCACGGGGGCGGCGAGGAGGCGACGACCGCACGGCGAGGAGCCCCCGGCGAGGGCGGCGAGGCCAAGGGTGAGGGCGAGGGCGAAGGGGGGGGGCGGGGCGGAGGCGGCGACTGGGGGAGGGGGGGGGGGCGGGCAGCACGGGAGGGA